TGACAGGGTTGCAATTCATCCTTTAGGAACAAATACTCCAATTGAGTTAAAACATTGATTTTTTCATTGTTTCAGTAGAAGTTGCATAATAATTTTTACGTTAATATAGCAAAAGAGATTGAAGAGTAGGATAAGGGATTGGAATAAACGGCAAATTGTAAATTCCTACAACCCTGTAATTTGAAGTGTTTATCAGATTAAAATCCGAACATGATTTTTTTTCATTTTTCTTCATCTCTTTTTTTGTTTTTAACTAATTTTCAGAATGTATGTGTATGGGATATTCGAATAAGTAAAGTTAACTTACCAGTGAAAGAAAAAATTATCCAAAACCTTAGCTTATTTTGGAAACTCGTGACCACCCATTTCCATAGATTATTTCTCCTTATTCCCCCCAAAACTGAAACAAAAACAAAATGCAAGAAAAAAAGTTAAATTTGTCTGATATTTACAATAATACATAATTTAGGTAATGAGAGTAGTTAGAGGTAACAGGATTAAAATTCAAACTTCTCCTTTAATACATCCGAACCAAACGCACAGCCTCCATGGTGTGAAAACAAGAGCAAGACGATCAAAAATGAACCGTGTCAGGAGACAGCTTCAGACAAAAGCTCAGTTATGTATTTGCCTTAGTTCTAATGGGAAGAGAGTCCCTGGAGTTAATCTTCTCATCGAAAGGATGGAATAAATACATTATTAAAAGTTCCTTGTGTTTCTTGAGGGATTTAGGAAACTCTCAAGAACATAATGGCTCCCTTAAGGCATTTAATTTCCTGAATGTTACAATGAATGACAGGAAATGTGGGGCTTCCTTTCACTGAGGAAGAGTGTCCCTGAGCTAACATCTGTGCCAGTCTTTCTCTATTTTGCATTTGGGATGCAGCCACAGCATGGCTTGATGGGCAGCATGTAGGTGTGTAGGTCGGAGCCTGGTATTGAACCTGCGAACTCTGGGCCACTGAAGCGGAGTGCACGGACTTAACCACTATGCCACTGGGCCCACCCTGACAGTTTTGGAGTTTTTACCTTCATCTTAAAATGAGTTATGAAGGTTCTGGTAGCAATATTTCACATTTCTCCTTTCCATGTGTATCTAAATAAAAATTATCTTTTATTCTTTATACTAAAAACAATTTTTTCCTTCCCAAATGCAAATTTCCTAAATCCGTAAAATAAAGCTAACGGAGCAGGTAGTAGTAGGGGGGATTAGGGGATGTTCTAAATTTCAGTTAAGCCAGAAGATGATTATGTTAGAAGGCCTAGAACATTCTAAGTACCTGATGCATTCTCTGTTTTTATTTTTTAATATCTAATACATTCCCAGTTCAGACATGAAAGAATTATATAAGAAATGCTGTAAGAAAATGAAGAGATTAAGTTTCTGAGACCAATATTCTCTTTTCTCCTAGGAAATTGTAGATTAAGGACAAAAAGTTATCTGAAAAAGCTTTATAAACGTCGGTATTTGCAAGCATTCAGTTGAAAAGAAAAACAACAATTATAATCAGAAAGTTCCTATCCGGTCTTTTATCTTCTGTAGGTCTATTAACCCCTTGAAGTTACATGAAATACTGTGTTTAAAAGCACATATTTCTGGAAAGAGGCCTCATACCAATAATCAGATACTCAAATGGATCCCCAAAATAAGACTTAATGACTTTATTAGCAACAAAAACTGATATTAAATCAAAAAAGTGTTGAAATTTAGAATACATATGGAGCTGCAGTTGAATTTGGCGTATAGAAAAATGTAATAGCATTATTCAAAATGAATTTAGCATATGTTTGCTAATGTGAGTTATTTTGTAATGAAAGAAACCTTT